TCCTTAATCTTTGAAGAAGGCACCTTCCTCCATCTCTCTTCCTCCTCTGCAGCAGTTTCCTGAGCTGTGATCTGTTGCTGTTGCAGATGAAGCTCTTGCAGCTCTTCAGTGGTTAGCTCTTCCCTGTGGTCCTTCAACTCTTCCACATCCTCACCCCTCACCTCCAACCCCAGGGACATCCCCATGCCACAATAGTTTCCACAACTGGCATAGGTTCCTTAGGGTCAGCCACAAACCCTTCAAAATCCCTCTCTTGTACACAATCTGGCCACAAATTTCTCCAAGCAGAGTTCAAAGTCCTGGAAGGCACTCCCTCCCAAGACTTACCTATAAGGTTTATGCAATGGAGGATATTAAAGTGATCTTTCCAGAACTCTCTTTGGGTCAATTCAGTGTCTGAGGTCACTTCAAAGCACTTTTGAAACACTGCTTTGGTGTACAGTTTTTTGAAATTTGAAATGACCTGCTGGTCCATGGGCTGGAGGAGAGGAATGGTATTAGGAGGCAAGAACTTCATGTGATGAAACTAAACTCCTCCACTATTTGCCCTTCCAAGTCTGGAGGATGAGCAGGAGCATTGTCCATTACCAGGAGGCACTTGAGTGGCAATTTATTTTCCAGGAGGTATTTCTTCACACTGGGGCCAAACACTCAGTCTAGGAAAATTCCCCTTGTGACCCATGCCTTACTGTTAGCCTTCCACATCACACACAAGTTACTCTTGGCGACACTGTATTTCTTGGAAAACGCTGGGATTTTCAGAGTGATATACCAGTAAAGGCTTCACTTTGAAGTCCCCACTAGCATTACTACAAAACATGAGAGTAAGCCTGTCTTTCATAGGCTTGTGTCCTGGGAGTGCCGCTTCCTCTTGTGTGATGTAGGTCCTCTTTGGCATTTTCTTCCAGAAGAGGCCTGTTTCGTCACAATTAAACACTTGCTGGGGTTTGAATTCTCCAGTGTCTACGCACTCCTTAAATTCTTGTACAAACTTCTCGGCTGCTTTTTTTGTCAGAACTGGCAGCCTCGCCATGCCTTATCACACTGTGAATGCCATTACGCTTCTTAAATCTCTCGAACCAACCTTTGCTGGCCTTAAAATCACAAGCCTCACTACTTGTTGCAGGCATGTTCTTTACGAGATCGTCATGCAACTGCCTTGCCTTTTCACATATTATTGACTGCGTAACACTATCTCCTGCTAACTGTTTTTTTGGTTTAAACCACACCAACAATAACCTCTCCACTTCTTCAAGGATTTGTGATCTCCTTTTTGTCAGCATATCCACCCCTTTTGCAACAACAACACACTTTATTTCCTTTCCTTTCGCCACGATCGAAGTGATGGTTGAATGGGGCTTGCCATACATCCTGGCAAGCTCTGTAACACGCACTCCACTCATATTTTTCAATGATTTCCTTCTTGAATTCGATCATGTTCCTCACTTTCTTTACCAGAGGGCTTGCACTAGCTTTCCTTGGGCTCATGAAGATAGAAGTATTGGGAGGGGGGGTGGGGTGGCATTGTATGTCCGAGATCGCTTGAACTGTTGCATAAAAACGGGTATTAAGTCTGAAGTAACACATACAGAGTCTGTTTGGATAGAATTTTCAGAGGAGCATGAAAAACTGATTTTAGGAGTGATATACCGTCCCCCAAACTTAGATAGGGACCAAGGGAAACTACTATGGGAGGAAATTGTTAAGGCCACAAGGCACGATAATGTAGTAATTCTAGGAGACTTTAACTTTAGTCATGTTGATTGGAATTTCTTGACTGGAATTTAGAATCATACAACTTCTTAGAAGTATTTCAGGATTGTTTTTTGAAGCAGTTTGTGACAGAACCTACAAGGGGAAATAACCTGCTTGACTTAGTTATGGCAAACAATGAATCCCTTGTTAATAATTTAGAAATTTCAGAGGAACTGGGTGCTAGCGACCACAAATCAATTACATTTAGCATTGAATGGAAGTACGATAGTAGCGATAACTCAGTAACAGTCCCAGATTTTCGCTTAGCAGATTACGATGGGCTTAGAGAACACTTATCATCTGTTGATTGGGGTAACGAAGAGAGCTATCAATATGACAGTTTTCTGAACACTATACATGCTGCTCAAAGAGCGTTTATCCCATATAAAGAAATTAGATCAAATAGAAATGACCCAAAATGGATGAATAATAGGCTCAAATATCTACTAGGACATAAGAAAGGAATTTATAGGCGTATCAAAAGAGGTGAGGGTCATCTTATGAATCAGTATATTGACATTAAGAGGGACATTAAAAAGGGGATAAGAAAAGCTAAAAGGGACTATGAAATTAAAGTTGCTAGGGATTCTAAAACTAACCCAAAATGTTTTTTCCCGGTCTATAGAACAAAAGTTAGAGATAAGATAGGTCCCCTTAAAAATAACTATGGGCACCTTACTGACAAAGAGAATGAAATGTGCTTGATTTTAAATAATTATTTTCTCTCAGTTTTTACACAGGAAGACACTAACAATATTCCAGTAATTAATTTTTACAGTGGGCTAGAAGAAGATAAATTATGTAACATCACAGTCGATAGTGAGATGGTTGTGAAGCAGATAGACAGACTGAAGCAAAATAAGTCGCCGGGTCCTGATGAGGTTTTTCAAGGGTTCTTAAGGAATGCAAAATGGAACTCTGTGAACCATTAACTAATATTTTTAATTTATCTCTTCAAACAGGTGTAGTGTCTGATATGTGGAAGATGGCTAATGTCACTCCTATTTTTAAAACAGGGGACAAGTTGTTACCGTCAAATTACCGCCCAATAAGCCTGACCTCAATTGTAGGCAAATTACTAGTCAATTATAGCTCAGATTATAAGAAGCCATCTCGATAAGCATAGCTTGATTAATGATACTCAGCATGGATTCACAAGAGGCCGGTCTTGTCTAACTAATTTATTAACTTTATTCAGTAAGGCTTTTGAGGCTGTTGACCACAATAAAGAATTTGATATTATTTACTTAGATTTTAGTAAGGCTTTTGATAGAGTTCTGCACCATAGACTGTTAAAGAAAGTGGCAGCTCATGGCATTGGGGAAAAGTGCTCTCGTGGATCGAGTCATGGCTCACTGACAGGAAGGAGAGAGTGTCCATAAATGGGGTTAAATCCGAGTGGGGATCTGTAACAAGTGGCGTTCCACAGGGATCAGTCTTGGGCCCGTTGTTGTTTATAATATATATCAATGATCTTGATGAGGGAATTACTAGTGATATGAGCAAATTCGCCGATGACACAAAGATAGGTAGGATAATTGATTCAAACGTAGATGTTATGGAACTTCAGGAGGATTTAAACAAACTCTATTCTTGGTCAGAAAAGTGGCAGATGCAGTTCAATGTAGATAAATGCAAGGTTCTGAAGCTTGGGAGTGCCCATAACCCTAGTACTTGTAAGTTAAATGATGTAGAACTTAGCCATACAGATTGCGAAAAGGACTTGGGGGTTATGGTGAGCAGCAACCTTAAACCAAGACAGCAATGCCTAAGCGTACGTAATAAGGCAAATAGATTACTGGGATTTATATCAAGAAGTGTAAGCAACAGAAGTCCAGAGGTCATACTGCAGCTTTATACATCATTAGTAAGGCCTCACCTAGATTATGCAGCTCAGTTCTGGTCTCCGTATTACAAAATGGACATAAATTCGTTAGAAAACATTCAGCGTAGGATGACTAAATTAATACATAGCATTAGAAAACTTCCTTATGAAGAAAGATTGAAGACTCTTAAGTTACATTCACTTGTTAGACGAAGAATGAGGGGAGACCTGATCGAAGTGTATAAGTGGAAGATAGGTATTAATAAAGGGGATATTAATAAGGTCTTGAGGATGTCTCTCCAAGAGAAACCCGCAGTAATGGATTTAAATTAGATAAGTTTAGATTTAGAAAGGACATAGGAAAGTATTGGTTTGGAAATAGGGTAGTTGATGAGTGGAACAGTCTACCTAGTTGGGTTATTGAGGCTGGGACTTTGGGTAGTTTCAAATCTAGGTTGGATAAGTACATGAGTGGGAGGGGTTGGATTTGAGTGGGACTTTCACATCAGAGCTTATTTCTTGGGTGGCATTGAAAATTGGGTTGGGCAAATGTTTTGTTAGTGGGATGAATTGTAAAGGACCTGCCTAGTATGGGCCAGCAGGCCTCCTGCAGTGTTCCTCCTTTCTTATGTTCTTATTTAGCAGTTGTAATCACAAAAAACAATGGATTATTATGTATGAACCCGCAGGGTGATGGTCACGTGTTGGTAAACAATGGCACACTGAGCGTGAATGGCATGGGAGACTGGCTTTGTGTGCGAGGTGATGGGTGGACGGGTACCGGATGGTCGCCGAAACGAGTTTTCTCACGAAACTCGAGGCCAAATTTTTCCACAAAAAAAAAAAAAAAAAGCCGAAGGTCGAATTTCACGAAAGTCGAGGCTGCCGAAAGTCGAGGGTCCACTGTATTATTTTATATCGAAAGATAGGGTGACCTGAAAAAGGAACTTCTCCGTCATTTATGCTTATCACTGTTGTGCCATAGGCATACAGATATGACAGTTTAGATGTCCCTCTTAACAGCAAATATCCCAAATCCCTCCTTTAGAATACAGGCACTGTACCTCCCACCTGAATCCCTTCACCGAATATTAAGTTGCTCACACTATAACAACTCGATCCCAAAAACCACGTCTCCTATCTAAAAAGCTCACACATGCCTGTGGTATGTCCAAACCCCTTGCACACAAACAACTTTTTTTTTTTTTTCATCTAATTTTATTATTTCCCAACTTTAGAATAGATTTACATTGACAAACCACATAACTTTTTATGCATGATCCACTGCAAGGCCTAGTCATGGACTGGGCTGCAGGGGCATTGACCCCTGGAACACCCTCCAGGTAATATACCTATTGTAATATGCTATGACATTTTGATAAACTTTCACTATTAACTTTGGGTATTTTGTTCTTTTCAGGTAGAAGGTAAATTAACTTCTCTCCCACCCCACACCTCCACCACGTCATCTCTGCACCACCATTATCACCCACACCCTGTCACTACCATGGACCTCTACCTACCCAGCACAGAACCAGGTCTCACCCTACAAGAAATGATTGACTGTGATATTAAATGTGGCATTGATTTTAATGAGGGACTTGATACTATGATGTCGTCCTCGGATTTAAACTCGTTAGACCTATCAGGAATGTCTTCTTTAGAGGCTGAGTTAGACTTGAAGTCATTTGAGCCACTATTTGACCCCCTTGAAAAGCTTGAAGATATGGATGTCACTGATGATCATTCAGCTGAAGAGCTGAATGTTGTTAATTCATGGATGAATATGTCATCCATGAGCAATTACAATTTAGACATAGAAAATAGTGTTATGGTCAATCCCTCTGCAGTGTTGCCAACAAATCTTCCTTCACGCAGCACAAGGCAAGAACCTTCTACTACAATGAGTTCTTCAGTTTCAAGTACAACTACTACTCCTACTGTATTTATTAAGACAGAACCTCAGCAGGTTGCTGCTACTTCATTACAGGTATTTTTTTCAACTCCAAACATGGGTTATTTTTCCTTTTACTCTATATTTTGATGTTTCTTCTTAAAATGGCAAATAACCAAATTTGATTGAAACTTTATCAGACTTGCTTGAACAAGAAATTTTGTTTCCAGACACCTCAGTCACAGGTAGCTGCGAGTGGAACAACGATAACCACACAAGTTACCGTAATGCGACCACGGACTACCGTTGGTCAAACAATACGTCACCAGAATGCTATGGTGTCTGCCCAGTCAACCACTCATTCCTCATCTCAGCCTACTATTGTGACAAGGCCAACCTTGGCCACATCTCAGATGGTGGTGCAAACAACCCAACGCACTGCCCCTCAGTTAACTTTGGCTTCTACTGCATCAACAACAACAACTCATACCACAACACCAATTATCACTGCACGTACCACAACTCCACACACTATTCTTAATAATAGGTAAATTCTGTTGTTTTCTATGTACTGTTTAAGCTATATAATGTGTGATAATATTTATGTATAAGGCTCAAATAGTGTAAACAGCTTTGGCATTCTTGTATATGTAATGTCACTTGCAGAAGCAAAATGGTGATTTATAAATGTCTCAGACCTCATTTCATTGCTCATTACAAGGTATAAGAGTACAGGGAAACCTCGGAAGGATCTTCGGCCAGAGGAGAGAGTGTTCCCTAAGCCTGCTTACTCCTACTCTTGTCTCATTGCCCTGGCACTCAAGAACAGTACTACTGGCAGCTTACCTGTATCAGAAATTTACAGCTTCATGTGGTGAGTAACTATACATATATGTAAATGAACCTGTGCATGTGGTAAAAAAAAAAAAAAAATGGTGTGGCATGGGGTGATAATCTAAAAGTTGAAAGGAATATGGCAGTTGAACAGAAAATGTGCATGGGAAAGACTGCAACTGTCAGACATCAGCAAATAAAGTTGTATGCATTAAATAATAGTGCATGCACTGTATTATGAAAAACACAGAAATACTTAAGTTAAATTGGTCATAACATAATGGATTACAGAAATGTACATTTCATGGAAAAAGAAACTTATGAAATAGATAAATACTCATTCCCAAGGTCATATGGCAGGTTTTGCCAAAAAGTATCATTACCAGGCTTATTCAGCTTAGTGAAGAATTGAAGATAATGATTCCAAAAGTAATGGTTTCAGTGGTTCTCATTCTCATAGCAGAAATAATAATAAATATTAGCCACAGCTTCATCTCTTCACTGGCTTTACCAAAATAAAAATGAAAAAATGCAGTTTGGTAAATGAAAATGTGATGTTCAGGTGTGTCAAATTTCAACTGCTTACTGTAGGTACGGGAAGAATGAAGACTTCAAAGCAAGCACAGTATACAAAATGCAGGCAGACCATGTCATAGAACAGCATCTATTATCTTGAAAAACAATACTGTAAGGTAAATGTAGAAAAGGGCAGAAAAAATTCTTCGAGACTTGAGTATTATTTTATGCTCGATGCTTTTCAAGGGATAACTAAAAAAAGACTGGAAAATAGAGGTTGTGTACTGCCTTCATAGAATCGATAAAACTTCTAAATTAAAGAAGTTTGTTTGGCATTGAAAGTTTAGCTACAATAAGTTTATTAAAGATAATTAATGTTAGTCTAGGAAAAAAAACTGTAATCTATGAAACTTTCTCTAAACTGTAATTTAACATTGTTTATACATAGGTTACGTAATTTTTCTCCTTTAACATTTTTAGTTTGTTAAAGGGCCTCAGTACGAGATAAAAATATTCAGTACTCTTCATGTATTGTTTTATCTTGAAATAGGTTATTCTATTGACACAAATCCTTTCACTGTCTTGCATAGATCTACATTATTGACGCTAGTGTCACTTGCCAAGATCTACATTTTAAGCATAGCCCACTCAGATTTGCTGCAAGTAGCAAATTTTAGCTAGACATAAGATAGGCATTGCGCACACTAAGGCAGCAGTGCCTTAGTGTGCGCAACAAGGCCAACAGATTACTTGGATTTATCTCAAGAAGTATAAGTAAAAGAAGTCCAAAAGTTATTTTACAGCTCTATACATCACTATGAGGCCTCATTTGGATTATGCTGCTCAGTTTTGGTCCCCTTACTACAGGATGGATATAGACTCATTAGAGAACATACAGAGAAGAATGACTAAAATGACTTACTGTGTGAGGAACCTCCCGTATGAAGATAGACTTAAAGCCTTAAATCTCCACTCTGGAGAGGCGTAGAATGAAGGGAGATATCATTGAAGTGTATAAGTGGATGACGGGCATAAACAAGGGAGATATTAATAAAGTACTGAGGGTGTCGAACCAGGTAAGAACCAGGAATAATGGATTTAAGTTGGATAAATTTAGATTTAAAAAGGACATAGGTAAATACTGGTTCTCTAACAGAGTTGTAGATGCGTGGAACAGTCTTCCCAGTGAGGTGATAGAGGCTAGGACCTTGGGTAGCTTTAAGAAGAGATTGGACAAATATATGAGTGGGAGGGGCTGGGTTTGAATGGTGTCATTGGGTACGCGAGTTATTTCTTGGGAAGCTTTAGGTAGTAGTCGTTTTGATAAGGACCTGCCTCGCATGGGCCAGTAGGCCTTTGCAGTGTTCCTCCATTCTTATGTTCTTATGTCCGTGAGTGTGCACATCCTGCACCACGAGGTGAATGATAATCAGAGCAAACCTTTGACCTTGTTTGGTTTAAAATGGTGACTGAGGTATTTTCTATTTTATTTTATTTTTTTGTTTCCTTTTTCTTTTATTGACTGTTTCTTGGTATCTATACTGCTGAAGTAATGATTTTAGTCAGTTGTAGGAAATAGGGTTCAAATAGGGCAGAAATATTTTGATTCTTCCCAAGGCAGAGTAGTTGCCCCTAACACCTCCCCCATGTCTTGAGTTTGTACTAGGTCTGCTTCATTTATAAGGATGCCCTAAATAAAAAATCATTCTTGGTTACACAGTATTTTATTAATCTGAGAAATAGGGTAAAACTTCAGTTTTGTAATTGATTATTAACCCTTAAATGGTCCAAACGTATATATACGTTTTTTCAACATTTGAAAGTATGTAAAAAAAATGTAGATCTTCTTTCTTGTTTTACATTTAAAAATGTGTAAAAAAAACTTGTATCTACATTTTTTTTTTGTTATTTTTGAAAATATGTAAAAAAAACATAGATCTACTTTTGGAGCACTACGGATTTGAACGTCTATCTGTTTGGACTGTTTAAGGGTTAAAAATGAAGGGAATGTGTAATATAGGAGAGGCCTTGGAATGTGCTAATGAACAGAGGATAGGTTGCTTTCATGGTTGGAATGCAGTGTTTATTTTGGACTTTCTTTAAACAAGAATGTTTTTGGTGTAAAATTGGCCAAATTACAGACTTCTGTGCACTCAAGAGTGGTTCTGATAGAGAGGCTGTTTTTTGGTCTCGATCAACAGAACTTAAATCGAGGGTAAAATCTCTGCATCTTTGCATCTGTATAATTCCATAAGTTTTTTTTTTCCGCTCAAATTTTGTATTTTTAGTGTAACTACACAGATTACTTTATAGGATTTTCCTTGGGTTTGTGTTCTCATGAAATGTCTAAATTGCCTAATAATTGGATCTTCAGATTGCATGAACATGCTTAAACATTGACCAACCCATGAAGCAATTTATATTTTATGATCTACTCAATAATGATCCTCCAGTATTCTTTAGAAAAAGAGCCTAGATCTAGGCGAGATACCAGAGACCTCAGAGTGCAGACGTAACTCCTTTGCATAAGGGAGTGTAAGCACTGGCTAAAAATTAGACCAGTAGCCCTTACTTCCTACATCATAAAAATCTTCGAAAGAGTGACGAGATGTTGGATTACACATTTCATGGAACAGCACAATCGACATAATCCAAACCAGCATGGTTTGAGAGTGGGACAATCATGCCAGTCACAGCTGCTGAACCACTGACAGAATTACTGAAGTTTTGGAAGACAACCGAAATGTGGATGTGATGTACACAGACCGCAAAGGCGTTTGACAAATGCAGACATGGGGGTGATTGCACAAAATGAGGGCCATGGGAATTACGGGAAAGGTAGGCAGATGGATTTTTGGGTTCCTGACACACAACAGAGTAACAGTAAACAGAGCAAAATCCAGCAGCAGTGAGGTAAAAAGCTGTTCCCCAAGACACTGTCCTAGCACGTCTGTTTCTTATCCTCATAGCAGAAATAGATAAAAATGCCTGTCAGTTTTTTTCATTTGCAGATGATGCTTAACCCTTTGAGGGTTTTCGTCGTACTAGTACGTCTTACGCGTAGGGGTTTTTGACGTACTAGTACGCATAAATTCTAGCGGCCTCAAATCTCGCGCGAAAAGGCTGGTAGGCCTAGGTGTGAGAGAATGGGTCTGCGTGGTCGGTGTGCGCGGTAGAAAAAAAATCTGGGACTCAGTGGTGCATTGTGGGAATGCCCTCTTAGTAAACAATGTCCACCATGCCTCGCGGTAAGAAGCTCCTCACTCCTCGGCGAATTGGGACACTTTTGTTCCCCAGTGACAGTTCTAATAGTAATGGAAGTGCCAGTGAAGATGAGTTTCGTGGTTTTAGTGAGGTTTTGACCGAAACTAATGACAATAATATCGGTAATAGTGAAGAAAACCCAGACGACCCTCAGCCTTCCACCTCTGGTGCTGGGCCCTCATGTTCACGTTCAGTTGTTCCAGAACCCAAGAGGAAACTTCTATTTCCCAAATCCCAGACTCAGATGAGAGCATGGTGATGATAGTGATAGTGAATATGAACTACAAGCTCTTCAAACTAGTTCCAGTAGTGATAGTGAAGTGCAATATTCCCCAGTGAAGCGTCAGTATATACGACAATATATGCGCTCTGGAAGTGTGCCATATGCTATTCCAAGGGGAAGGAGTGTATCTCGGAGTACATCCCGTGGCTGTACAACAGGAACAGACAGTGAAAATGACGAAGATACTGTTGCAATTGGGATGGAAAATGTGCGTGGTGGTAGTGGTGCCGGCGGTGAGGCACCAGCAGTGGGCCATGCTGCCACCCACGCTGCCACCCACGCCGCTGCCTCAGCTGATCTAGAACAAAGGCCACCATCCCCCACTCCACCACACCAGCCTCCACAACCACAACCTCCACAACCACAACCTCCACAACCACCTGTCATTGTCCAGTACCCACCAGCAGACCGCACCTGGGATTGGCAGGAAGCTGTCAATTTTGTTCCAAATCCCCACCAGTTTGATGGCAGCCAAAGTGGAATACGGCCATCTTGTGCACTTGGGAACAATGCCACTGAACTGGAATGTTTTGAGTTATTCTTTGACGAACCACTGATGAAAAGTATTGTCATGGAAAGCAACACATACTACGAGTACACCATGGCAAACGCATTACTTTCACCAAAATCACGTCTACACCAATGGAAGGAGGCAACTGTGGCTGAGATGTATCTTTTCTTTGCCACAATAATGCTTATGCCACATGTGTATAAGCACAAAGTGAAATCATACTGGTCAACAGACCCCCTGATTGCAACACCAGGTTTCAGTGATATAATGCCAGTGAATCGATTTGTGCTAATGTTACGTATGCTTCACTTCTCGGATAAAACCAGGCCTGACAGAACTGACAGGTTATATAAGATTAGGAATGTGTTTGTGTATCTGAAACAGAAATTCAGTACGCATTTTTATCCCTTCAGGAAGCTTGTAATTGACGAGTCTTTGATTCTGTTCAAAGGAAGACTCTCTTCAA